AAGAAGTTACTTAGAAACGAAATATTAACCCTGTGCTCTGAGTGCATGTCAATTCATTTCAGATGAATCTGAATCATCAAATGGAAATGATTGTCAAGAGATGAATTTAATATACTGCAGAATGCACAAGAAGCCATTTTGGATGCAGAAGATATCTTGAAATTAATATCCTACTTAAATTTGAGGCACCCAAAATTGCAACCAAAATGCTATTGAGATACTGTACATCAGATTGAGATACTGTATTTAGTGATAGCTGACAATGAGCAGTTCAGTAGTCTGAACGCATGCTAATGCGATGAGAGTAATTGGAATAGCATATTTAAGGTTTATGTGGCTACAAACATCTTTACTTTCATTAAATCCAATATATCAAAAGGAATTGGAAATGTCTCAAAATAAAATAAAAAGAAGTTTACAAATATCATTCAACAAGATGAAAATTAATTTGATTATTTTGAATATTTAATTTTGAGATTTCATAAACTAATCTAAACACATCAAAAGTGGTTTAAGTTGCCTAAAAACATCATTATACTGTATATTGTGAACTCTTATACAAACATATCTATAGAAATATGGCCTTATTTTAAAGTTTAATCGAATACATTTTTTAAATCATTTAAATGTGAAAATTTAATTTCTTAAATTATCTTAACATTAATTATATCTCAAATTAATTTCATACACTTTTAGATTACTTAAAAACATCTTTAAACACTTTATAGTATCTCTAAAGTATAACTTGACTTTGTTATACTTGTCATCTTACATCTACATCTTACTGTGCAGACATGTCATCTGAATCTTGTTTTTAAATATTCTACTATTACAAAATACTAAGATATTTAGTTTAAAGACAAAAAGAGGTGTCTTTGATAGTATTACACCTTAATGATAAGATTAGGGAAACAACAATTTTAAAATTTCAGTTTTACTCACAGGATTATTCAAGTGACACAATTTCATATGAAGCTTAATGTGGGCAGCAGCTGGAAAGGGTGTTAATTCAAAAGCATGAACCTTAATGCATAGCCTTGCTTATGTCTGAAATTGGATATGTGTATGTCATTAATGCTCTATAGAGTTGCAGGCATGGAGCCATTGGCAAATAAATAATCTAGTTGACATAAAAAGTGAAAAAAATGTCCATTTCAGCTGAAAAGGGATGAACCAGAACACCACACCCATGCTGGAGGAAAAATAATTTTCTTTTGCGTGTCTTGTTCTCCTTTCATAAACTAGACTACAATTTAAATCACGCGGCCTGTACCCTGGAGCTGCTTCTTGTATTTCCCCCTTTTCTTTCCTCCGCACTCTGCAAAGAATAAAAGATTTCCTTTTGTAACTCAAAACAATATTCTGTTTCATTGTTAAAGTTCTTTGACCCATGAGACACAAACAACAGTAAGTCTGCATCTTTGTTATTTTGAAGAAATGAGAGCAATATTGAATTTCCAATTCAAAGTATGCATTAGCCCTTATTCTGAGACTGGCTTTTCTCTACCATGACCCCAACCACTGAGCAGAAGAAGACTGCATGGTCAAACCAAGAAGTTAAGCCAAATACGTTCTTAGGTTTAAAATCTTGTTTCAAATAACATTTAGACTCAAATAACACATACTGTACACAGTAAGTTCCCAGTTAGAAAAACGGGTCAGGGGTTAAAACAACTTTTTATTTAATAGTATCTGATAGGGAATCCTTCACTGGAGGGACTATGAAATTGGGCACAGACAGTTGTGTGTTTCAATTGGTTATGTGGGACAGCTTTACACACAATCAATAACAGTTACAATGATAGTGTCTGACAGAGCCCTCAGATCAATCAGCACGAGGGATGACCTTAAGCAGTTACATGTGAATATCAAGTATTGATCTTGGTGTTGTGGTTTATCAATACATTGTTATTATGGCAATCAGATCTATACACAAGTGTGAACTGCAGTCAAACCTACTGTAGGTTTACATCAAATCCCTGCTATAAGAAATTCACACTAAGATTTCAGATATTTTAGGTTACAAAGATTATCTATCAGAAATACAGTGTTAATGTTTTGCATTTCATGCTTGTTTAATTTTAATTTGACTTGAAAAGAGTTAATGCTATCACAACACAAGTAATGGTGCTGGTAAACTGTACAGAAACATTAAACAGCTGAGTCAGTTTGAGCAGATTAAAGCAGTTTGATATTTACTTTTAGATTTCCTTTGATCTGGCTAAATTTAGCCTCCATGCCTCTTAACATGTTACCACTGGGGCTCCAATAGTAACATAAAGTAAAGATTTTGCAGACTGATCTACTGCTACAAAGACTAAAGGCAAAGGCAAAACATTGGGTTCTATTTAATGTAGGTTATTTGTAGTTGCTTTAAGAACATTTTCACAGATTGTTTTTATCAAGTAAGCCACCAATCTGTTTTATACCAAAGGTTAGTTCTCTACACAAAGGCTAGCAGCTAAATTTAAGGTGAGCTACAGCACCAATAACATTTAAAACTAAAAAACATGAGACTCATTTTGTACAAAGTCTTGTGGCACTCTGAAGCCAATTTTCTGTCTTTTAAAGAAAATACAGACAAAATCCTCCTATCAGTTAGCAGCCATACAAGAAGGAAGAGCCAAATGGCCTCCTCTTGTTTGTTTGTGACCTTTCATATGTTCCTAAACAAACCAGATGCACTTCAGGCACAATACAGTACATACTAATGTCTTTACCAGTCAATGATTATCATGATTCATACATTCTCACATACAGCCTGAGGTAGTATTAAAAGGGAAAAAAAGAGGTAGAGGAATAGAAATCAAACCAATGAAACTAAAAAATGTATTTTGCTGTGCTTCTTTATATTGCTAAAATATTTATGAAATCAGACGAAAGAACAAGATCCATCTTTTAGCCACTTTTTCTACAAGCCAGCCTTTGTTGACCTAGAAAATGAAGTTGGTATTCTCAGTTCTTTAGAAAGAGTTCATGAGGAGCAGTCAACAAAAAATGATACACAACAGCCTTGAAAGTACATGACTGACAACAAACTTAGCTGTCTTTTTTTCCCCAAGAAGAAGAAACAACCTAAGAAAATGCTGAAAAAGCCTGCACTGCACTGTTATGTTTTCACACAGTATTGATGTAGAAAAGCTCTGACCACAACTTTGTCAACAACAGCTACCTGTATCAGCAAAAAATATGTTCTCAACCCAGAACCTTGGTACCAGATCTTCTTCTGATCATTTTATGCATTCAAACCTTTTCATGTGAAATTAAGAACTCAAATTTTGTGTGATGCTTTAAAATAGGTGGGGAAATTATATTTTCTAAAACTGGTATCCTCAGACCCACTTCAAATGATTACTCATGATGGCATCAAACAGAACCGGTGAAAAACTGTTTATTGTTTAATCGGAATGAAAATTCAATTGTGAACATACAAAAAAATCTTTGCAGGCAGTTAGAAGCTTGAGGCCTAAAGTTTAATTCACCTGAGATTCATTCTTTTGAATTGTGATCACTAAAATGAGGAGACTGTAAGTGTGTTCAATCAACCAAAAGTCTTCTCTAGCTGAATATTCAAATGTACACATGACAAAGCAGACAATTTACATATATCTATAACCATTAATTGTAGACTAACTTTGCTGTCTTTATTATCTGATCTTCATCCTTGTAATTTCTAACTTTGTTGATGCTGGAAAGATCATATATCAATGAACATTTTAAAGGTACCAAGTGATCTATATTCAGAATTAAACTGAAAACGGTTCTGTTTTATCAAGTTTATCACATTTACACCTTGATTAAATGTAAAGGAGAAATTGCCCAGGATTTGAAATTAATTAATTTTTCAAACATTTAAAAACAGTTCACATACTAATTTGACTAATCTTATATTATTGCGATATTACAACTACTGTTACTAATTAACACCCTCTAGTTTCTTTTTTCAGTTTGAATTGAATAACTGAGAAGAACTGAATGTGAATGAAATGAAATGAAAATTCACTAAATGAAAGTGCCATCTTCCTTAGGGTCAAGTTACTGAACAGCTTCTAGAAAACAAAATCTGAAACTCAGCTTTAGAAGCATGTGAACAGAAATCTTATTCGCCTCTAATCCCATGCAGAACAACAGTACCAGCACAGAACTAATCTTTCCAGGTCAAACTCTCTTCTCTGTCCTGTTAAGACAACACAGCCTTTTAGTTAGTCTCTGGAGACATTACAGTTTCAGACATAACAATAGCTCTTTCATGAGGCTCTGCAATATGAGACCTGCAGACAGGATTTATACAGAGGCTGTAAGCCACTATATTTGCAGGAAAACTACAGTACATCTCACAGGTAAAATAAAAAGTTATGAAGGAGAACATAAAATCATGTTGCTTTTGTAATTGAACATTGTCATAATCAAGGAATAGGAGGGGCGACAGACTGTTCAAATTAATTTATGACGACTACTGAAGCTGACAGCTGTTTTATTTTCTGCACATATTGCTTTTTGAAAAATCGTATTAATTAACTTGTAGCTTCAGTATCTACAGTAGGTGGAAAGTGATGAAACTACCTGGTTCTATCACATCTAGCATGTGCTTAGTGAATTTATCTAGTGAAGGCAATGGTTTAATGTTAAACACTGAAACATCCACAGACCTGTGTAGTTTACAGCGGCAGAGTCAAGCAGAAGAGGCCAACAAAAAAGGCAGCATTTAAAATGCAAAGCATTGCAGAACTACAGACATTTTCCAGACCTGAGAAGTCTGTATACCTGACATATATACTGTATACTGCCTACCTTACAAATACAGTACAATGCCTACTTTATCCAGAATCTCATAAAGCAAAAGGAAAGCAAAAGGCAAAACTGAGAAATAGGGGAGGGAGAAAAGAGCAATCAGCATTGATGGCTTCTCCTCTCTTTTCTCTAATCCCACAGTCTGCCCCAGTGGCACGAATGGAAATGTAGGCATAATGTAAGACAGACAACAGCAGGTGAAGACTTACCACTCGAGCAATTGGATCCACCCCAGCCAGGCTCACACTGACAGCTGTTGGGAGCAATACAACGGCCATGGTCACATTTATCAGTACAGTGAGCTGTAGCAGGGCACAGGGAGTTGGAGGAAGAAAGAAAACAAGGGAAAGTAGGGTCAAATGACAAGCTTTCACGTCCAAACAGACCTTCTATATTAAGTTTTTAGGAATGAACCTAGATCCACATAAGAAGTCCAATTTATCTGACACCATAAATGCAGAAGTTAAACCAGAGGCTTGACCACATACTGTATAGGAATGCAGAGAGTTCTTTGCCTGAGATACAGTAAATGTGCAGTATATCCAGTAAAACGCATTCTGTTATTGTTAATGTTTGAACAAAACACTAAACCTTGAAAGACGTGAAATATTTATTCCCTGTGCACACACAGGTAGAGTCGTCCTCTTTTCTCATTCCTTTCAGGAAAACAGCACTTGTACAAACCATGCCTTTGGAAATTAAGAATCTTAAATATGATTAACAGAGCTATGAAGCAAATATGAATCAACAACTTCCTTTGTTATTGAATTGAACTGAGTTTTGGCTCCAATTATTTTTTAACAAGTTTAGAAGTCCAATTTGTGTGCAAAGTTTGAATTATCCTCATTTAATTACAGCATATGTTTAAATAATTTTCTCTTTGCATTAGAAATAAGAAAAACAAGCATATCGAAGAAAATAAACATCAACGAAAGAAAGTAGTAGGGTATACAAGATTACTTCTCAATATTTTTATTTTTATACAACTCCATTTATTTCTAGTTGGACTACTGGGGAACACAACTTTATTTAATAAACTAGTTTATTCATAAGCCTGAGTTGTAAAGAACTAGAATCTACTTTATTACTTACAGGTGTTTTATTCATCTATACAAGAAAAAATTAGGCTCCCGGATATGTGTCATTTTATATTAAACATTATTGTGTTTTCTGGGGGGAAGGGCTTATTTTCCTAACAAAAAAAGTTTTAACACTGTAACAGTTACTGTTCAGTAATTTAGTGATATTTGCCTGTTGTTTTTTAATTAAAATGTTTTACTAAACACAGTATCATCAATCTAGCTCATCCAGGCAGAAATTGCTGATTAATGCCAGACTGGATTAGAGAACAAAGGAATTACAATTTAAATTGAATAATATTGATTAGGAAGAGAATTCACTGGTATCAATATCTGACCTTCCTCACTTGGATTAATAATGATTCCATTATACAGAATTATCATTCCAAACCATCTGATTTGACTTATTTTATTTTTGACTTATAATTATTTTTGCAATATTAGATATCTCAACATCATAAGATACCAAATTTGAGTCCAATCCAGAAGGAAATAACATGCACTGTACCGTGAAATGTGTAGTTTACATCAGTTTAGAAATGAAGGCATTATTTTTAACATTTTTCATTCAAGACAAATTATATAAGTACTTTAATGGTTGTATAAGATGCTTTTTGAAATAGTGGCTTTAAAATTTTCTTCATTAACATTTAAATCAATTGCATATTTAAGAGCTGGGCAGGCTGTAGCAACCTGATTCGCCAAATACAAACCCATTACTAAAACTATTTAAATATGGAGGGACAGGCATAGTATAAAGAATAAAACTTCTCCATTCTATTTTAAAAATAGACACCCAGTTGACTTTCTTTGCTTATACACAGCATTGATTGTACTGTATCATGTGTCAACAGCAATCATTACAGTAGATGATGTTACCCTGTTATTTGGACCATGAGAAAAGGGAGCTTGTTTTTTGGGTCATAGTTTCAAGCAGGCTTGCTATTTCCAAATCTAAATGGACTTCATCACTGCACCATCCTGATGCTCTAATTCACAAGGTGTGGAATTCAAAAAATTGAGAAAATGCCTGCACCCATACAGTTTCATTAATGGCATGTGACACAATAATAATTCTCACAAAGCCCTGTGATGAACCAGCTTCATATCTAGGGTGAGAGCAGTCATGTGCTCTCAGTTCCACTTGTGATTCAGAGAAAGGCTCTGGGTTGCTACAACCCATGATGAGATGTTTTTTTATAATGAATGGAAGGAAGCTTTTACATAAAAAACTGAGTGATATTCCAACTTAATCTGAGCATCTGAGCACATGCTGCAATTGAAAAGGGCGGAAGAAGTTTATGAGAGCATCTCGTAAATCTTTATGATGTCATAAATTCTTTTAAAAGAAACTTTTTTAGAGATGTGTATTATGTTCAGGCTGATGAAATGACTAATGCAACATTGTGTTGTAACAACAGTGTTGTAAGTGGAGATTCTGTAAACATTTAGAAATCTCTTTCACTTTTTCATCATGATATTGGCACTAGTCATTTTCATGTTTGTAGCCTTACCGTATATGCTGCTGTCTTTAGCTGGGCTTGAAATAAAATTTCCTATCATCTATAGTACTTACAAAAATAACTGATGTGGGATACACATAATTTACAGAAGTCTGCCTTATTTCTTGTGTGGTTGTAAGTGTGGGATCTGATTCAAAGTAAAATCTATTCTAAAAAAGGGAGCTTGATGTTCAGGGAAATTCAGAAAAATTAAGATCGGGACAGAACAATTCTTAAAAATGTATTGTTTGTTTAACAACACATGAATTCAATTCATACTTAATATGAATCTTGAGCGTGTAGTGATGTCAAATAGGCTATAAAACAAATATTAAGCTCAAGACTGAATAACTTCATGAACCTGTAGTGTTGAAAAAGAAGTGTGTGAGCCCCAGTATAATTATGGTATTTACAATAAAAGACTTCAAAGATACCCTTGTTTACTAAAAGCCTGTGTTTGCTTAAAAATGGTTTAAAATCAATTTTATGAGAATACAGCTGGTCCAGACAAAATGGCAGCCTTGTCTGGACTCCATTCCCACAAACCTTTTGGAGAATTAGCAGCTATCCTCAGTCACCTGACCCTTTGGGGCAAGATGATTGGTCAGTTAAGTACGTAAAAAGCAGGAAGCTGAGGCTTTCTGAGTCAGTCTGTCATGAAGTGGTATCAGTTATCTGAAGACAGAAGACAGAAGACAGAAGACAGAAGACAGAAGACAGAAGACAGAAGACAGAAGACAGAAGACAGAAGACAGAAGACAGAAGACAGAAG